ACAGATACCATCACTCACTCTCCCTGTGTCCCTCTCTCTGTCTATCGCTCAAAAGGCCTCCTCGACTGCGCTTGATAAAAACAAAGTGAAAATTTATGCAAAACAGAGATAGAAGAAAACGCAAAAAAATAGAAATTTTAGAAAAACAATACAAAAGACACGTGGATGAAAGGACAGATAGCGAGAGCCAGAGAATGGTAAGTAGGAAGTGAGAGGGAAAATAACTAAACAGACAGTTGGGGCACTTTTCCCTAGATAATATTGTTTATAAATTCTTTGAGTTACCTTTTCCCAACACGCTTTTTGCAATTAAAACAAAACTTGAAACTCAAAACTTGCCTGAGGCAAAGGTTATAAGAAAACAAACGGAAAACAGTAAAAGCGCCGAAACGCGAACGCCCAACAGAGTTAACGATGTCTCCGAATAAAGAAATTTACTTTTATAAAAGTAAAAATTTAAAGGGAAATATAAATGCGCTGTATTTGCTTTATTGAACAAATTAAGAGCAAAAGCTAATTTATTTTCAATATTATTGTATTCTTTATATTTTTTTAGCCGTCGTTAAACCTTTATTATTAATTGAAAATTATGATTGATAAGAAAATAAAACAAGTAAAGATCTAGTCGAGACTGCTCGACTACGAGATCCCCTGAACTCTTTCAAGGCCGATATTTCAATAATTCTTCGCGACTTTATGCGTACATATGCCAAAACACAAGTGTTTCGTATTCGAAATACACCTTTTACAAGTTTAGTGGTGGAGTGGGGGGTGAGTAATTACAACAAAAATCAAAATTCTCTAAAGTACATATGAATTAAATTTAAAATTTGGCGACTCTAGCTCTACAGAAATAGCAAATAAAATTTGTAAAGTGGCTCGCCAGCCTTACATAGCGCTGACTCCGGAGGGAGTTCAAAGTTTGTAGGCGATAAGAGGATAAATTCGTATCATTTTGGTTTATAGCTGGTAAGGTTTAGATAATATGATGAAGAGTTGTATTTTTAGTTTATAAATGATAATGCCTAAATTCGCAGGATATAATTTTGATTGAATTGAGAATTCTTGTTTTGTAGTTATAAGATGTCGAAGTTGTTGAATTGTAGTGAGTAAGTTAAACAGTAAGTTTGTAGTTTGTAAGATATTGTTAAATGTCGTAGCAAGTAGCTTTTGTAAACTAAGTAGAATTTGAATAGTGAGCGGGCGCGCGATCAGCAATGCAACCATAGAGCTAAAAAGCTCGCTGTAGTGAGGTTGCATTGCTGTCGCGAATGAAAGTTAAAAAAAAAAAATATTATATTTTACCTATTAATCGTAAATTTATATGAAATGTGTTATTTATTTAAATATTCGTGTTCGTTTCGTCTTAGTATTTGTCTTTTGCAACTTTATGTACATATACATATGTAAGATCGTGGAGTCAAACGTAAACTTATGTTTGTATGTATGTACATATGTTTATATGTATATGTCGCCTTCAATTTGGTCCAAGTATTTCATCACAAATTTAAAATTACACCACACTCATCGTTGGACTGTTTAAATACGGTAATAGATTTTAAGCAATACGCAGCTGATATAAAATGCAAATTATTAGCAAATGAGTACCCATCTATTAAACGAGGTCGGAGCAAGGTTAGGGACACATTTCTCGAATAGATATCATTAATCCTAAAGTAAATTCATCATACATTATACAATAAATATGATAATAAAAAGCTTTAGAGCTGAAACCAAAGCTTTCTGAGAGCTTTTAAAAGAACTATGAGCTATCGATCAGCTGATTATTGAATAAAAATTGGCGCAAAAATAATTGTTGCTTTGTGTTCTGCCACACGAGTAAATTTAATCCAGAAAATTAAACTTAAATATGGAAAGTGAACTTACGGTATACACTATCTATGTATTGTTTTATTCGATGTATAATTTGAGGATTTTAGTTTTGTGTAATGTTCAATTTATGTGTATTTTTTTTAGTAAATTAACATGCGTTCTCCGTGTTTCGTGGAATATACTAATATGTAACTAATAAGCTGTTCCATGCTGAAAGCAACTAATTGGTACAGATTGTACTTGTGTGTCTTGTCTTTTCTCCCCCTTTTCTTACATTTTTATACTCATTCACGAAAGTGAAATGAGTATATTGAGTATCTATTTCGGCGCTATTGAAGCTAGAGACTTGAAATTTGGAACACATACTCGAGTATATCACCGATTTAAAAAGTGTTAAAATTTTCCAGATATCATATTAATTGAAAAGCTAGAAAGCTGAAATTTGGAATATAGATCCACATCGACCACCTAAGATCACGAGCTATGGCGGATATATCTACGCCAATTCGGGACGTGGCAAATCGGATAAAACTGTATCGCCAAGAGTTTTACAGCTAGAGCGCTGAAATTTTGCACGTCAGCTAATGTTAAATTATAAGTCTACGCTCATTAGGGGCGTGGCAAATCGTACCTGAAGATATAGTGATTTTTTAAATTCTGCTATATTTTGGACACCAGAGACCTCAAATTTTGTATATGTACTCGGGCTGATCACCCAAGACCAAAAAGCTTTGTCGGATATATGTTCGCCCACAGGGGGCGTAGCAAACCGCAAAAGTTCATATCTCCGAAAGTAAAATAGCTAGAAGCTTCAAACTTAGATAATTAAGTTACCAGTAACCTCTTCTATCGATGACCTAAAAATAATTTTTACACCTCGTAAGGGCGTGGCATATCAAAAAATACCCTGTAATTTTCACATTTTTTGAGGGTAAGCATTCAAACTTTGCAGTTAGGGTACCGTTATCACGTTCTAAGAACTGACCAAACATGAGGTGTCTACGCCCAGTAAGGCGTGGAAAATCGGGAGAACTGCATTTTCTACAGTATTAGAGCGAAACTTAGCAGCTAAATTGCTGATGGGGTGTGAATGAGTATTCCACAGTCGGTAACGCCCAACTGCAACGTTCTTACTTGTTTTATATAGAATAGAGTTTCTCTAATAACATATGAAAACATTGAAAGTACCAATAATTTTTTGGGTAGAGGTAACCAACTACCGAGATTGTGCGGGGAACAAAAGATCCAAGACTTGCCAATGATGCAATGCAGATTATTTCACTGCTGTAGCAGGCCATTATAAGATTTAAGGGACCAGCACTTTAGTTAACCATCGACAGTTAGACATTTCGATGGCTGAGACGGTCGATACTTGGCGTGCCATAATGAGTAATGACAGAAGAAGAAAAAGATCGGCAGAGCTGAGTTGACGTTGGAAGAGCTGAGCCTAGAATTGACGAATATTCAACAAAAGTTGCTGTGCATGACCAACTTAACAGAGAAGGCCATGAAATGGATACATACAGATCCATCCCGGATCGTACAACCGTCAAACCGACAAGCCGACAAACTACTGGAGGAATTAGAAACGGCATTTTAAAGCAGATTATCCAAATTAAAGGTGCGTCGCAGATTTGGATCGCGCATGTGGAGTGCTGCTAAAAAGTTTGCTTTATACTACGAAAACAAGACTCGCTTAGCAAGTGAAATTCATTTAGACGCAGACGAGCTGTTGCACAGTGGACGATTTCATAGGCCAAAAATAAAAATAAAAAATTTTTAAATTTACAACTCTATGAATTTTTTTAATTTCTTAAAAGAACAATAAATTCCACTGTAAACTCATTTTTCACTATCCCATTCGCACGCGCTACGAATAGCAATAAAAGATAGACAAAAAACACGTGGGCGGCGCAGTGAACGAAGCTAAAAAGCTATATCTTGCCAAAAAATTAAATTAAATCGTGGTTAATTGGCATAAATTATGATGCRTATTGAAAGAAAAGGTTAATACTATATAACAAAGTGAATTTTGTATAATAATATGTTGTATTATTGTTTTAATAATACATTGTTCGCAATGGCCTGTTTACTGTTGTAGTTTTCTCTGTGCACTGATTTCAGTTGGAGAAAAAGTTGTGATCCCCGTCGCGCCCTCWAATGAACTTTTTTGTTTTATATTTGTTAATGTTTTCTTAGTTTGTATTCTTAATTTCAGCAGCCACCTTTCGTCTCCCATTCTGTTTTTCGTGTTTTTCTACCATGTGTTTTTTGTGCCGTCATGCATTTAGGTTAGGTTTATGTTGTCTTTGTGTTTTGTGTCATTATTTGCGTTTTGATCGTCATATTCGTTTGTGTTTTGGCTTCGACTTTTAATTTCGAGTGTTTAAAATCATCAAATGTTTTTTTTTTTACATACTCATATATAGGCATATCATATCAATATCAAATTTTACGCATATATATTTTTGATATGTGGTGCTTGGAAAGGGGTTCATTTGCTGCTAAAGCAAAAAAAAAGTATATGATAACCTAAACTATAAATTTGAATCCGATGGTTATGAGAATATGGACAATGATGTTAAGAAACAACTTGACTATATATTTAAAAAAATTGGAGAAATGTGGAATAAGAGCAACAGAACTAAGTCTAAAGTGGTCGAAAAAAAATCGGATTGGTTTGCGCAGAATGTATGTGTACCACTAAATAAAAAGACTTCATCCTCTACATTAAATCCACATCGAGGACGTCCTAAATTAAGTTTTGTGGAGTGTTCAGAAAGAACCAAGCGTCGACGGATAGCAGAATTAGCAGACCTCGATGTGTCCGCTGCTGATGAGTTGCCTTCGGCTTTTAATCATCTGAATCCGTCGATTTGTCCAGCAAAGGCCTGTGAGTTGTATTTCTTATAACAGAAGCCGGTTTGACGAAGCATCAATATTTATTACTTAGAAGCTTCGTGAACAGTAAAGTTGATGATTTAGAGAAAAATTGAGGCTGATTGTCGATAAACCCAAAACTGGCGGTAGTGGATCTACCAATGACGGAAATACGGCTAGA